ACATGGCCGCCATGAGCCACAAAATTTTAAGCATTTTGAGCCACAAAATTTTAAGCATTTTTTAGACAAAGTTAACAAAGGCGAAGAGGAATTAAACTCGATATCTCTGTTTCACTCATGGCCACAGAGCACTATAAAAAAATTTCAAAAAAATTGGTCACTAGTTGGCGCTATAACATTTTGTGCCTCAGGGAGAACCTTCGGTTTCCCAAATCAACACAATATGCATATCACCAGACAGGTAGTCTTATAACAAGCAATTTTGCCTCAAGAAGTGGTCCTCTAAAATGAATAGTTTATTTTATATAAATTTTTATATAAAAAACAACTTTCGCGAACTATTCCTAGGTCTTAAGCCTGACCGGAATGAAAACACAGCAGGAAGAATCCAAGGACACTCTTTAGCAATAATTATCAAAAAAAAATTATATTTTTCACTCTCCCTTGAAATAGGGCATCAAGTTCTCTGAAATAGGCGGAGCTGGTTTAACATAAACACAAACAACTTATAAAGAAAATAAGCTAGCCTCACCAAACTCACAGATATGATGTGACAGGTCTTCCCCAACACAGAAGAAAAAAATTGTGATTATTGACCACATGGTGGCTCTATAACTTAAAAACCCAGCAAAGAAATATTTAGTAAACTTTAAATATACCATAATATGTGAAAAGCAAAAGTCCAGTAAAGAAGTGCAAGACATGTGCATATATAAAAACAAAATGGCTGCCCGTGAAGAGCTGCTCCCAATGATGAGGCGAGCTGAGCTGGTGTAAGAATGAGGGAACCCAAATGCAGTGAGGATATTACAATGAATATGTTTAACACATGAAACTTAAGCACCACAAAATGTCTACCTCGATAAAAAGAAGCCCGAAACAGGAGATGAGACTGATAGGAATAACAAAACACAGATCACATATAGACAATGAAAAGGATGGAGAAGCATTAACAACGAGCAAACATTTGGCTGGAAAGAATTAATTAATGAAAAGTCTCATATGTTCAGGATTAGAAAGCCAAAATAAAGGTTACAAAAGCAAAACTTAAACTTGTGACAAAAACTTAAGTACCAAAACACAACAGATGGCAAAACATGAGACATGTCAAGATTTTCAGTTATGGGTTGAAGGACAAGGAATGGGGAAGACAAACAGCTCTGACCACCATGGTATCAGAGACAGGATCTGGGTTAGATCAGGCGGGAACCTGTGGCAACCACTGGAAAGAGCATTGCAATAAAGCTGGCATTGACAAGAGCCCAAAAAATTAATTTATGTGAGTGGTTCACGCAGCACCAAGGTCTGCCATGAAGCAGGCAGAGCCAATAGTTGGGAAGTTGATGGCAGTGTGAAATGGAGGTGGCACTGGTGATTCATGGCATTGGGGGTATATGAAGCTAGATGATAACACTGTAAAAGTACCAGGTTAACCAATACGATAGCAAACTTAAAGTCGGGTGTCTCCCAGATGACAACTGTCTCAGAGTTGAGAACTTTAACAGTCTCAGCTCTGTTGGAGAATCAACAGAGCAACCTCTCTTTTTAGCTGCTTCTGGGCACCAAGAAACTAAAAAGAGTATCCTGGGGTGGCCTCCAGCTCATGAGAAACTACACCAGGGTCAAACAGAAGCAAAGCTTTATCATTAGTGATTGGATTACAGTGGAGGAGCTATAATGGTCAAAATGTGTAGAAAAAGTTATTAAAAGATGAAATTTTGCTAAATGTATGCATCGTGTTGCAAAATAGTCTTGAAATTTTCACCTCATTAGAACAGAACAAGTACACGAGAGCTCTGGAGTCCTATGGTCATAAATGACGAAAGATGGCTAAAATACAAAGACAACCTTAAAGTGCTTAGGTGCTTAAACCCCGACCATTGCTGCTTGCAGCTATATTTATTATTATTATTATTCTTCTGCCGTAAAACGGAACGTGCAGGGTAAACGGTAAGTCGTAGAAAGTTGAAACTTGGTAGGATGGTAGAGGACAATTTGGGGAGAGGCTATCAAAAGATGAAGCAAATCGGCCAATAGGTGGCGCTATAACGATCAAAAACGCGTTTGGGGTCGTAACTCCAAGACCGTTTGTCGCACAGTCAAGTGCCTTACATCATTGGAATCTGTGGCTCAAGACTTAAAAAATGTATATCTCCGATTTCATTTCCGCCTATAAAATTTTTTCGCAAATTAGCATAATGTGCAAAATCAACTTTCGAATACTAGTCCTAGGTTTTTCGCCCGATCGGAATAAAAACAAAGCTATAAGACTCTATGGACACTGTTTAGCAATAATTATCAAAAAAAAAAATACATTTTTGACTCAACGACGGAAAAGGGCAACAAAATGTTCGAAAAAGGCGGAGCTAGTTTTGCTTAGAGGACAATAACTCATGAACGAAAAAACATTAGGTCACCAAACTTGGGAATATTATGTAAGAGGTCACTTTGAGGTCATAGAAAAAAAATTGCACAGATTAGCCAGATGGTGGCGCTATAGATAAAAAAAATGTCAAAAACAGCTGTAACTACGGCAAAGTTAATCCGATTGACTTGAAAATTGCCATGACTCATTTAGGTGTCCATATACACAAAGGACTAAAAGGATATGGGCGTATCTTAAAAAACATGGCCGCCATGAGCCACAAAATTTTAAGCATTTTTTAGACAAGGTTAACAAAGGCGAAGAGGAATTAAACTCGATATCTCTGTTTCACTCATGGCCACAGAGCACTATAAAAAATTTCAAAAAAATTGGTCACTAGTTGGCGCTATAACATTTTTTGCCTCAGGGAGAACCTTCGGTTTCCCAAATCAACACAATATGCATATCACCAGACAGGTAGTCTTATAACAAGCAATTTTGCCTCAAGAAGTGGTCCTCTAAAATGAATAGTTTATTTTATATAAATTTTTATATAAAAAACAACTTTCGCAAACTATTCCTAGGTCTTAAGCCTGACCGGAATGAAAACACAGCAGGAAGAATCCAAGAACACTCTTTAGCAATAATTATCAAAAAAATTTTGATTTTTCACTGTCTGAAATAGGCGGAGCTGGTTTAACATAAACACAAACAACTTATAAAGAAAATAAGCTAGCCTCACCAAACTCACAGATATGATGTGACAGGTCTTCCCGACACAGAAGAAAAAAATTGTGATTATTGACCACATGGTGGCTCTATAACTTAAAAACCCAGCAAAGAAATATTTAGTAAACTTTAAATATACCATAATATGTGAAAAGCAAAAGTCCAGTAAAGAAGTGCAAGACATGTGCATATATAAAAACAAAATGGCTGCCTGTGAAGAGCTGCTCCCAATGATGAGGCGAGCTGAGCTGGTGTAAGAATGAGGGAACCCAAATGCAGTGAGGATATTACAATGAATATGTTTAACACATGAAACTTAAGCACCACAAAATGTCTACCTCGATAAAAAGAAGCCCGAAACAGGAGATGAGACTGATAGGAATAACAAAACACAGATCACATATAGACAATGAAAAGGATGGAGAAGCATTAACAAGGAGCAAACATTTGGCTGGAAAGAATTAATTAATGAAAAGTCTCATATGTTCAGGATTAGAAAGCCAAAATAAAGGTTACAAAAGCAAAACTTAAACTTGTGACAAAAACTTAAGTACCAAAACACAACAGATGGCAAAACATGAGACATGTCAAGAGTTTTCAGTTATGGGTTGAAGGACAAGGAATGGGGAAGACAAACAGCTCTGACCACCATGGTATCAGAGACAGGATCTGGGTTAGATCAGGCGAGAACCTGTGGCAACCACTGGAAAGAGCATTGCAATAAAGCTGGCATTGACAAGAGCCCAAAAAATTAATTTATGTGAGTGGTTCACGCAGCACCAAGGTCTGCCATGAAGCAGGCAGAGCCAATAGTTGGGAAGTTGATGGCAGTGTGAAATGGAGGTGGCACTGGTGATGCATGGCATTGGGGGTATATGAAGCTAGATGATACCACTGTAAAAGTACCAGGTTAACCAATACGATAGCAAACTTAAAGTCGGGTGTCTCCCAGATGACAACTGTCTCAGAGTTGAGAACTTTAACAGTCTCAGCTAGTTGGAGAATCAACAGAGCAACCTCTCTTTTTAGCTGCTTCTGGGCACCAAGAAACTAAAAAGAGTATCCTGGGGTGGCCTCCAGCTCATGAGAAACTACACCAGGGTCAAACAGAAGCAAAGCTTTATCATTAGTGATTGGATTACAGTGGAGGAGCTATAATGGTCAAAATGTGTACAAAAAGTTATTAAAAGATGAAATTTTGCTAAATGTATGCATCGTGTTGCAAAATAGTCTTGGAATTTTCACCTCATTAGAACAGAACAAGTACACGAGAGCCTCTGGAGTCCTATGGTCATAAATGACGAAAGATGGCTAAAATACAAAGACAACCTTAAAGTGCTTAGGTGCTTAAACCCCGACCATTGCTGCTTGCAGCTATATTTATTTCTATTTTTTCAATACACTGCATATAGTTTTTATATCTGAGACCAAATACCAAAATTGTTGAGACAAATTTAAAATACATAAATAAAAAAAAAATCAAAGATAAGGTCGAAACAATGTGCAAATTATATTAAAAAACCTGGCGAACCACTCCAAAGCCTTACACACTGTTTCAACCACATAATGCTTTGATTTGTGTAACATTTATGAAAAAATGAGCCCTTATGACAGGTCTTGTAATTTAAAGGGTCATCCCTTCTTTTTGATCACTAGATGGCATTTTGGGACAGATTTGGGGTCTGTAAAACAAAACTCACAAATTTTATCTAATTTTAATATGAAATTTCTTACAAATTAACTCTTGTAATGTTCGTTTAAAACTAAAAATATAAAAAATAATAAACTTTTTGAAACCTACACATTATAGTTGAAGCAAAAAATTTGATCCGTACTTTATTCAAAACAGAGGCTGTAATGGCCACACCCTCCAGTGCGTGCAGGGACTCTAAGGGTTAAGGATACCATTTTCTTGGGGCTCAGTTGGTAGATCATTACGCTACAAACACAACGTTTGTGGGTTCATATCCCAGGGAAAGTAACAACTGGCAAACAAATCTGTTCATTCATTCAAATGTAAGTCGCATTGGATAAAAGTGTATGCCAAATGCATAAACGTAAATCTACATTAGCTGCGTTTCCATCCACCAATTTTTATGTGCATTTTGGAATATCGGAATTGTTAAGATTTTGAAAATGAGCATACACAAAAAAATTGTATGTGGGATAAAATTTGATTCTGATGAGTAGAAATGCTATGACAGAAACACATTTACCAAATAAATCCCAATGCAATAAAATGATAATGCATTTGAACTGGAGTCTTTTGGTCATCTAAAATTCCTTCGTCAAAGTCTGTCATCAAAGTGGTTTGGCACCAACTTCCATTATTCTTTTAAATTTTTAATTATTAACAGGAAGTAAGGATATTATTCTCTTGGACTAATTGGATGAAAACGATGCTTTATTCGCAAATATTTTATGCAACATTTTAGTTTTGCGCATAAGTTTATTTCGCATCTTTGGATGAAAACAAGGCTTTTTACTTTCTTTAACGAAGAAGAAAATGTAACTGAAACTAATCGACCACCAAATTTGACTTGTGGACGTGACTGGGAAACTGTTGACTACGATGGGCCGGTTAATCCTACAGGATCCTCTAAAATCTGCCGTCACATTACACCTCATCAGATGTTTTGGAGATGGATTTAATTATTTTAGCGCATTTTCTGTTCAAATGACTTGGTTTCATCCGAGGTCCCCTCTCATGCAAGCCACCATCAATGGACTGCTTCTAACTTTGATAACTGCTGAATTTAAATATTCATAGTTGTCATCAAATTTCAAGAACACATCGACCCGTTTTAAACGTCCCATATTGAAAAATGTTTTGCATTAACAGACGTGTGTCGGGCTCCTTGAGAAGCACTGAAGCGCACAGGCACAGTGCTCGGAATAGTAATGGACCATTTTACCAGCTCTCCTTCCAATACCCCGCATCCTCTTGGAGAACACACACCAGCGCGCACCTCTGTTTTTCTACCATGATGGGCATTTTCCATTAACTCCCTCTGAGCCCACCGCGCTCGTGTTCTTTTCGAACCCTGTTTCCCTTCACACAACACTGTAGCATGCATGCATTTCATTAAGACAGGGTTTTGTTAGTCTATTAAGCTGTTCTGGTTCCACTACGAGAGTTTTCAAGTTTTACGGTCCATGCAGTTCGCAAAATCACCGGGAATTTCAATCAACACCTGCAGCTACACTCCACTGGATGATTTCCAAACAAAGAATGAACATGGGAAGTGTACACACTGAGAAGCCATCGTGTACAAGACTCTATTCAACCTTTCCAGCGAAGCAGGGCCATCAGTGCGCCAGAGATAGCCAGGGGACATAAACATAGTTTCATTCATCCATTTAAAGCCAGGATTCCAAACATAAAAACAAATGGTTTATTCAGTGGGAAGGAAACAAATATTTAAGAGCACGCTGCCCCCTGTTGATGCAGCCTCAGGATTGTGGATTTAAATGATATACAGAAGCTTACAGATTTACTTGAAATGTATGGTTCAGACACTCAAATATTTGGAAGTAATTGGTTTCCACAAAGGAACTGTGTTCTAATGGTACTGTATGTAGTCGAATACCACTCACTGACCACTGTATCTTAAAAACGACAACGTCTACTGAGTCAAAATTCCTCTTACACCACAGAAGTTCACCAAGAAAGGGTTTTAATCACCATTTGATCACAGTACAGTGGTACCCCGAGATACAAAATTAATCCGTTCCAGGGTGACATTCGTATCTCGAACATTTCGTATCTCGAAGCAAGTTTTACATGTAAAACGTCTAATCCGTGCAACGGCTCTCAGAAACTACAGTATAAGTGAAAAAAGGAAAACCAGAGAAAAAAAAAATCAAGTAACGTTTCTTCAATCCTTAAATCTACACATTGTTAATGTAATAAATTATAAAAAAAAAAAAAACAGAATAAAACACAAGCAAAATACGTAATATCTACACAAATGTGAAATGTCACGATTATGAAATTTGGCTGACGATTAATTGTCTAATAAATACTTGCGATCATGACAATTGGTTGTCTGTTTTAGGGCTTTTTAGGGACCTGGCAATTCATTGTTGCTTGTCAAAGTTGTGAAGCATTTCTTTAAATGCTGGTTTCTCCACAGTATTAAAAGGCTTAAATTAATTTCCTTAGAGATGTATCTCGTGACACTGATGGTCAGCGTGCGCCATTTCATACAGTGGCGTTTATATTTTATTACCCAATCAAAGGCTTGCACTATTGCCACCTGACTGGAAGTATGAGCAGCTCTGGATAACTTCACAATGTCAGCGAACTCAGGTGGCGCTACAGGACAGCACTTTCCACGTTATAAACTGTACTCACACTGTAAGATACTGTACTCACAAGAGGCAGGCACAGAACTAAATAAGAGGGAGAATTTAAGGGAGACAAGAGAACACCTGGGAGGAGGAAATTAAAAGATACAAGGGACCAGGCACGAGGGAGGAAGATGGTGAAGCAAATGTAAAAAGGTGTGAGTGTGAAAAAGCATGCCGTGGAAATAACCAAGAGCAGGATAGAGAGAGAGAGAGAAAGAGCAAGTGATGGAGAAGGAGAAAGGGAAATGGAAGATAACCTGTTATGTGCGTGTTTGAACATTGTATTAAAAAACAGGATAGAAACACAAAGATGCGCATACATTTTGAAAAAGCAGATAAACTACGATGAAAAATGTACCGAATAAAAGCCAAGTGGCAGCGGGGTTTTTTCTGTCGGAACTGGGCGGCATTAATGGACAAACAAACAGAGCAATTTCATTACAGAACATCTGAAATGATCCTAACATTCCTAAAGTCTGTCATCTCTGGTTCAGCATTCTCACCTCCCAGAACTATTTTGACCAGTGTGAATTTTTAATTATGACATTAAAATTCTTATTGTTAATGATAATGCTTGAAAGAGGGAGGGGGGGGGCGGGGGACAGAGCAAAGGGTTCAAACCACAGTGGTTTAAAGGGTGCCAAAAGTGAACAGGTGGAAAAATCCAGCAAACAACCAAATATAATTATGTACCAAAAAAAACAAACACTGAGGATATTTACAAAAAATAAATAAATAAGGCTCAACAGCCAAACCCTGACTCCAAGACTTCGCAGCTAAAGTCTAAATACAGGAGTGCTTCATTTGGCCCTCAAGCCTTCCTGGCTTCTGTCGTTCATTTCCCATGTTCTCTTCCCATAGGTATAGGATTACAGTAAACACACGTCATTGACAATTAGTATAATCACATTGCATTTAACATTTAAATCACTGGAAGACATCACAATAAAGATGGGAATATTCTTAAACAGAAATGAGCTCTTTATAAATATTAACAGCATTTAATCCCCAATGTCTTCTTTCCACAAAGAAAAATAGGAAACACCTGTCTTCATCAGGAATAGTGGAGTCTGGCCGAGCGACCTTAATTAATACCTCTGTTGTCTCCTACTGCCTCATAAACTACTAAAAAGGGATATCCCGAGAGAAGCAGAAGCTCCTTCCTCACAATGCTCAATAATGTTTAGCCAAAAACATGACATGCTAACTCATCACATTAATGACGCCGCAGCTCTAACTCAGTCCGGCACCGTGGTATAGTGCGCTGGAAATACTTTATCTACTGTACAGTACTATCTAAATACTTCAAAAGAAAAGTCCTAAAAGCCAAAAACATCTAAAAATAAACTGATAATATATGTTAAGTGGTCACAAGTAAACATTGGAATAAATGTTTATTTTTTCTGTAGTTGGAACCAATGGTAATTTGCTGCACATATTGATGCTTGTCAGTAATGATACGAACTAGAGATTAAAACCAAGCAATGATGGTAGACTCCAATCAATGTAAATCTGTGCCTCTCGCTCGTTTGCTAAGAGAGACATTATTGAGCAGGTTGTGCATCTCATTTTGAGACCAAAAATGCTGAAGAGGTTACCCAACTGTTTGGAAACCACTGCTCTATTGAACTCCAAGTTCACAAGATTGTTTAAGTCTGACTGCAAAAGCCAAATATCAGTAAAACGAGACAGATGGACTCTCATTGTGCATCGACTCACTGGTCCAGCAACAAAAAGTACATCCAAAAAGCCTGCGGAGAGCGGGCCGCCAGTCTGAGAGAAAACCCTCGGGTCACTGGGGTCACTCATGGGTCTGATGGAAACACTAGGAGTTGAAATGCTACGGATTTATTGTCGAGTGCCCGGAGCCCCATCACTCTGACTCCTTTAACGTCTGAAGTCAAACGATAACCTCTGCTAAGCCTTGGACAAACCAGGCTCTCAGGGGAAACGTAAAGCAATGTGTGTCCTCATGTCCTTTCATCTACCATTTAAATACTTCACTAATCAATTTATTACATTACTTCTAAAAGTGTTTGACCTCACAAAAAAAAAAGTGGAATATTGAACCTCTTTCATTTCTTAAGTGTCTGCAAAAAAAACTATAAATGTGATAATAATTGTAGCTCTTTCCACAGATTCAGGTCTGGACTTTGACTCGGCCGTTCTAAGATCTGGATTTGTTTATTTTTTAACCATTCCATTTGTACATTTTGATTTATGTTTTGGATGCTTGTCTTGTCGGAAGACAAATTTTAGGTCTTTTGCACACTCCATCAGGTTTTCTTCCATAATGGTCCTGTATTTGGCTCCATCCATCTTGCCTGTCCCTACTGAAGAAAAGCAGGCCCAAACCATGATGCTGCCACCACCATGTTTGACAGTGGGGATCGTGTGTTCAGGGTGATGAGCTGTGTTGCTTTTACGCCCAAAAAGTTTGACTTTGGTTTCATCTGACCAGAGCACCTTGTTAGTGTTTCTAACGACTCTTTTATTGGAAGCTTTCAGAAATGGATTTCTTCTTGCCGCTCTTCCATAAAGGCCAGGTTTGTGCAGTATACGACTGATTGTTGTCCGATGAACAGACTCTCCCACCTCAGCTGTGGATCTCTGCAGTGATCATGGGGC